GAAAAATAGCAGATAATTCTTTTTACTTGTTCACTGAATCAGATTGCTAGCCTGCACGTCATTTTCTGCTGAAAAAGGTGATGCAATGGCAGATGGTGCCGCTATCACCCACACGACTAGCATCAATTCTGTGGTCGGCTCCCGCTCCGATCGGCTCCCGCTCGTGCCAAATATTCCGACCTCTTGGAGTTCCTGATTTCGTCGGACTGGGTTAATTTGTACCAAACTAGGGGGAAATTGTCAGTATGAGGGACCTTCTTTCCACGATTGTTATACTTTTTACTCGGCTTACATTTCGCTTTCCTGAATTCAAACAAAGGTGACCGTCACGGTTTATTCGTCTTCGCCTGAACCCAAAAGGAGTACGTGCCAAGACAATCGTAATTCGCCGCGCTGGTGGGCGTCGCGTGCGACGTCCGCTCGTAAATGACGATATTTCTAGATCGTAGATGGCGACGATGACAATTCATAACACAAATAGCCATAGAATTCTGTAATTTCATGGTCCACATGACAAAGGCCGTGCTCATCACCGCGCGCGACTAAGGCAATTTACGATTGTCTTGACCGTCTCCCCTAGAAGTCGTTGCTAGCTATTAATGAATCAGAAGGGTCCATCTTGGTTTCTGCCGTTTCAGAATTTCTCCAAAATTACTAGGACTTACAAAATATTTTCCTCTTTTTTCGATTTTCAGCCTTTTTCGCTCACTATCTTTTCTTCACTTCTACTAGATTTTTGCTACGGATTTTCAGCCTTTTTCGCTCATTACCTTTTCTTCACTTCTACTAGATTTTTGCTACTCGTCTGTGTACGATTCAGTGTGTACGATAGAATTTTCCTGCACAAAAAGATTATTTAAATTAATTGCGGAAGTTTGCTAGCTCGGAACTTTACTTATCACTGAACGACGATGTCGTAATGTTCTTGATCCATTGCGGGCGGTGTAACAACACACAAATTGGGTTCCTTTTCAACGAAAAAAAAATGCTAGACTGGTCTGATGGACCCGAGTGCAGTTGCACTTTTAGCTCTTGCATCACATCTGACATTGAAACTATGAGAAGTGCAGCGCTAGGAATGTACACTTTCTGCTGTTCCAAATACCAGCCATGCAACCTGTTTGTCCCCTGCGTGGGCGTGCCATTAGTGCAGAGGCAAACTTCTATTAATCTATGGCCTTTGTAGTTGCCCTATTTTCGCCTGCAGTCCTCTAAGGGCTCTCACAGCGGAATGCAGGAGTGCGGGCACTCAGAGGACAACGGCTGACTCACCTTGTGGAAGTGCAAATGGCCAGTTCTTCAACCAGGGTGTGATGGCCAGATCCACATTGCAGACGGCGGGGGTGAGTCATGTAAGAATTACTGCGGCGTGTTACTTACTATTTCACGGAGAGGATGCAGACAAAGATAGAACAATGAGTGCGATCTTTGGATTTTATCGCCAGACATCTGTCCACCCTCTCACCTTAACAAGCCACGTTGCGCCATAGATCAGACAGGACTTCTTTTTAACGTGCCTTGGAAGACTTTTTGTAATCCCGGAGTCGTTCGGGGAATCCTTCACTAAGCTGATTATCTTCCTTATAACGTGCGATAATCGCGTTGAAGCGCGGTTCTATCACCGCCTCCTGCCCACATCGGCGCTCCTCCCACCGTCGGAGCTCAGTCCGGTCGAGCGCGGCGCCTGTGCGGGCTCGCTCATGTTTAGCCATGTGCCTATTCTTGAACTTCCGATCGTCACTTACGTCCGCATTGCTCCGCCTTGATTACCGTATCCATCAATCAATATTGCTCGTCGTTTGCCCTAGTCCTTTTCGTACTGTATAGTCCTTTCTGCTTACAGATGTCACGCCGACGTGCTTCAGATGTCGCTCACGAATTCTTCCGATCGATATTCGGTCGATTCAGAAGGGATGACACAAAACGTTCATTGTCTACCGGTGATTTAGCCGATAATAACTACATGGAAATGGATTTCACCCAGCCCACTACGGTATGTTACTGTATCTACCGTACGCCATGAACAATGGCATAACACCTTATACTGTACTAATCGATAACGATTCACATTTACAGAGTACTTTACCGGCACACTTCGATGACTGCGATCTTGTTCCCATGGACTTTTCTTCCACATATCGTCCTCGTCTACTACCGCAGCACGACCGTAGCGCCCAAAAGCTGGTGCGACACGGTAGCCAGTTGGATAACAGTATTGGTAAGTTTATCAACCAATAACGATCGAGCATTCATCAATAAACCCTCAGTTATACGGTAACTTTACAGTATCAATAGCGGACTACAATCGTGCTCAAGTGTGGTTCCATCAAGGTATGGACTCAGCAAAAGCCGAACGATTATTACGCAGTTCTGGATGTGAGGAAGGGTAAGTTACAGTAATGATTACAGTAATCCTGTTGTACGCGGTCACTGTAACTGAGCAATCAATAATTGATTCCTTCAGGTCCTTCGTGATCTCGCAACAATCCACACAATACGTGCTGTCGTTTGTCCATTCCGCTACTATTCATCATATCCGCGTAGGATATTCCGTCAAAGAAAACGGAGAGCCGAAATTCCGTTTAGATATCGATCGAAGCTTCAAGTGAGTACCCCTGATACAGTATTCCTTTCTGGATAACCGATCAATTTATTGATTTTTCAGAAATCTTCACGATCTCGTTGCCTACTACACAAAACATAAGGCATTCGTCTTGCCGATGAAGCTCAAACACGGAGTGGCTCGACCGCTACGCACAGCGCATACGCGAACGCGAGCTTAACAATGCCTCATACCGTACCCTTGAAAGAACCGTACCGTACTTGCTATTTATACTTACTTGAAACGATCTAGCCACACTACCTGGTGTCCAACAAGCAATAGTTACTCTGATGATCTAATATTATTTCTCATTACCGTACATTAACTGTACATACGTGTATTTGTATGTGTTGTCTGTATTTGTACGTGAACTTCAAACTTCTCTCAGATTCCCTAGATTATCGATGAAAGCGGGATACTGTAGGATCAGTTATTGATCAGAATATCAGTTACATAGACGTAGATGTGTCAGATTATCGTTTATTTGTTGTACTGTATGCATATTATGGCGATCAGTTTGTGTACATAATCAATCGATGAAAAAACCTAACCGATCAATAATTCAATAAATCATATTTTTATAACCCGGTGTTAGATGTGTTTGCACGGGGGTGCTGGCGACGGCTGAACGATGTTGAATCAAATACGTCGAAAACGTCTTGCACGCATTCCACCTGATGACGCGATGCATTCGGACAGTGATTTACCAAAATCACAGTTGAATCTGAAAAAAACTATTGATTTACTACGAGGTAATATTTCATAGGTACAATTTTAGGCGCTCTTCGGCTTGGGAGTGACATTTTGCCTTTCGTTAGTTCCTGGTGTTAATTCATGTGAACTAGTCTCTGTGAAGTGACAAGTGGTGCAAGTGAGTCACTACGATTACAAAATTTACAGGTCTATATAAGGTAACTTGTACAGGCTTTGCCAAGCACCATTTGCTGCCCCCACCAAGCCGAACTGAGCCCCAATTTGATAGGGAACTAGCAGCTTGGGAGCGTTGATGGGTTGCCAAATGTCAGCTGGAAGCTCTCCACGATTGCTGAATTCTTCTGAGGCTGAAGAATAAAGTGTTTGGCGTTAATCGGCCCTCTTTTTGAGATGCGCCACGTATTTTACTTTCTTTCGCAGTCGTAGCGACATTTGAATGCGATAATGGCCCAATGCTTAAACATATGCTGGTCCACGTGAATGGTCAAGACAAGTAACCCTAGGTTCTGAGACCGATGTGGAATGCACGGCGACATCGGGATAAGGACGCAATTTTGCTTAGTGGGGGCACCTGGTGATTCACAATTAGCATTGCCCAGGGCAAATCGTGAATACCTGTAAAGTCCTGTGGCCAAAGTGGCTCACTCGAACAAATTCGCAGATTCACAGGAACTCACAGGTCTGACCGAAGTGAGACCCGTTGCATAATATTAACTACTAAAAGGAACTAACCGAAGTACAAAATGTCCCCTCCAAACCCATCAGCGCCAGAATTCTTTGATAAGCACATAATGTCACTACATACAACGCCATAAATATGGGAAAGTTGCAGCTGCAAGAGTTCCAGTACTTCTCGGATTCTGGACGAATTTTCCTTTGCCAATTAGCAACTAATAGGTTCCCGCTTGGTCGGTTTTGCCTCACGACGTTTTTTTTTTTGCATTCCTAGGGCTAGGTTTTTGGTTTAGCCAAGTAATTTTCTTTTACAAGCTGATCGAGCTGATGCCTTGGAAATATTCATTTTTCTCACTTTTTCCATCTTCTTGTTCTTGCAACTTCTACATTCACATTCTTTATCTGCTATGGATCTGTCCATGTGAGTATAGGGCTCCAGAACGGGGGACAAGTTGACTGCATGATTGTGGACATAAATAAATGACTTTCAGTGGCATTGAAGCGCCTACGAACCGCTGGAAGATGTCTGTGTGCAATTGCGTTAGCGCTATGGTAGACAGCAATTCCTGAAGAGGGTGAGAGCTCCGTGGTGGGGTGAATTAGTTCTCATCCCTAGAAAACTGGAATTCTCTGAGAGTATCACCCACCCAGAGTCACCTTCTCTGGGTTCTAGGATATCTGTCAGGGACAAACTCTTCCTGACCACCCCCTTTTCTTCCTCTTTCCTTTTTTTTGCTTCATCCCTTCTCCCTTACTCTTCCTTACTACCTCTTCAAGTGCTCGGCAAGAAGGCGCTATGAGAAACTGCCTCTGGACACTCACAGCGAGAAAATCCAGTTGACAGAAGCCCTGTACCGGTCCTCGGCTAGACCTAAGCTAATGGTAAGCTTAGTGCTTAAGCTTACGCCGTCATTGGAACTTGACGCTTATTATCACAGTATTCTCTAGGTGGTGAAGAGTCCGTCTGGAGTAAGTTGTAAATAGATTAGGTCTTTTCCATAGCAGACCGGGCTTCTTGTCTAATAACTCATTTACCCGTTGGTAGTCACTGAGAAGGCGGAGACTTTGAGGCAAGGTGGCGAGTGCCATCTCTAACCACGACGAGTAGGGAGTGATCCCGTCGAGTCAACCAAGCCCTTCACCCTGTCGATCCCTGCCCGACTTGCCTGATAGGACGAGGGTGCTGACTTCTCTATCGGCTAGTCTCCGCAGGTCATTGTGTAGACTTAACCACATCCGAAAAGTCACTACGATTCCGAATGGAAGAAAAGCGCGTGGCGCATTCCAGAAGAGATTTGAGCAGATTAGGTTGCTTTATTTCTTGCCCTTCTGGGGAGAAACTTGTGCGTTGTTACAAAAGACGTTCTTCATAGTCCGACCTGCTCATGCCATTTCAAAATTTCACGCGACTTCACTATAAATTAGTTTTTCTAATTTGGCTTCTTAAAATAAAACCTGGCCGTGCCCTTAAAGTTCATTACTGCGAAAAAGCGACCTTTTATTAGTTGTTCGTTCAGCGAATTTGTTCACGGAAATAGCTGCAATGTGACTTGCACAAAGAGCTACCAGAGTGCTACGAATGAATCCTCGAACTATCTTTCCTCGGAATGATAAGGGCCAACGGCCCGAAAAGTCCTTCAAGACCTAAGGCTCGATGATTCGGTTACCGGTCTAAAAATGGCGCTGGAAGTAAGGAAAAAAGGATGGTGAAGGAAAACGGAGCTAAACTTTCCGCAAAAGTCTAGTTGATTGTTTTATTTTAGTAGTAGTTCAGTTATTCTAGCTTGGCCACTTCATAGCAGATGTGACACTGTGGGGCACCTTGAGGACTCCTTCTACGAAAATGGGAATAAGGCCATCCAGACAGATGTACCGTGCTTGAAAGCTTTTCACACCCCACCCTTTCATTTCAGATTCAGGAAGAGTTCTTATCTCCACTACGGTGGATCTAGTCTTGACCAGGTGCACAGGGAGTCCTTCAACCACCCCCTCCACCCCATTTCTCTCTCACCCAGACCTGAAGTAGCAATATTCCCTTAACATGGGTATGACTAAGTTATTTTAGCAGTCATCGTTGGCATTCTATTTCCATAATATATGGAACCAACCCTTACACCAGGCAAACGGTATTCAAACTTTTCAATGGACTAATCAGTAAAGTTTTCATTAACACAAATTATAAGGTAAGGCGTTAAGGCGCCAAAAGTTTACCCAACAGTGGTTACCGTAGGGCAAGTGGCTGTGGTCTGCGGTGGTGTGTGCGCACTGTCTCGGCTCGCCTTGTGAGCTCTACTAGCTCTCCCTTTGCCTGGCCTCTCTTCCGAAATTCCAACGATTCGTAATTTCTAGCTCGGAAAGAGAAGAACCTTATTCAGAGCATCTTCCCCGGTATGCCCTGCTCTGCTTGCCTCAGCAGGTATTTCAGCTCACGAACTACAATTTTTCTTGCGCGAATCGCTTAGCTATAACATTTCCGGTGGCCGCGCCTTATAAGCTGTAGGAATGTGCCTTGAAGTGTTCATACCAAGTTTTCAAAAGTATTTTGGCCCTGAAACATCAGTGATTGAGCTGTAGCTGACTTGTCTTGGATTGGAATTGCAATTTAAGGTCAGAGAAGGGCACTAGTACCAAATGCTCTACATAGTTTAAAATGCCCAAGTATTCCAAAATAAAAATTTGGCACGAAATTAGGTATGGTAAAGCTGCGAAAGAAAGTCATTTTGGCATTATTACCGATATGAGGTAATAAAGATTGTTTACGTTTCCGTCAGCTTTCTTCCGAATGGGAGATTATGGGTCATTGAGGTTTTCATAATTGGTAAAGTTCAGATTAATTAACCTCAAGACGACACTCTAAGTCAGCTGACAGGAATTAACATTTCGCTCTCAAAACTCTACAATTGCAATAGATGTCTACTATTCATAGATCTTAGGCCATTACCCTACGCAAAAATGCAGCTGCATAGACAGGAACTCGTGGTGTGCAAGAGAAATGCAAGCGTAATTTACTAAAGCGCGGGTATAGCTGGAGGACTCAGTTCGGCTTTGTGAGGGCATCATATGGTACTTAGTACTTATGGTACTTATGGTACTCTGAGCTTGTACAGGCCACCTAGTGAAGACCTGCGAATTCCTCAAACCAGAGTGGCCAATGTTACCAGTTTGTAGCTTCACAAGAGTTTGCCTGAAAGAGAGACCAGCT